ATATCTCAAAGGAGCCCAGGAATTGACAGAGCAGAAGAATCTGCAGGGAAGCAATGGGAGATCCACTTCTTCACCCATGCCTGGTCCCAAAGAGAACTGAGGTGGTGGACAGAGGGCAAGAACTTGTTAGGGGAAACAGTCCAGAGTCCAAGGATGGGGAGTGGGTGCCCAGCATTGTGCGGACTGTCACGGCATCCCCAGGAGAACCCTTCCAGCTCCCAGTGCTGGGAATTCCTGGGTTCTTCGGAACCATCCCAGAAACTTGCCTTTCCCTGAATTCATCCTGTTCATTCCCATCTCTTCTTGTTGTCTCGACAGTGGATTAAAAATAGAAGAGACTGTTCCTGGGGGCCACCACATCCAATTCCCAACACCATAGTCTGGGTTCAGTTCAGCTCTGTGGAATAAGTGCCCCCAAAGACTTCCCACCAACCTCGCTGCTTGGTGAACTATTGTTCTTCAGAACCCAACTCAAATGTGCTTTTCTCTCTGAAGCCTTCTCAGCCACCCCGGCCGCAGCACTTGGCACCTTATTTCTGTTGTTCTGTGACTATACTAACTGTGGATGAATAACACCATTGTACATTCGGCATCCCCTACAATGCCAGGCACACAGCAGGTGCTCAATGAATGCAGAGGAATAAGTTGATGCTTCGTGACTAACAGCAACCAATTTCTTCAGTTATTCCTCTTGCTGATATTTCAAGAGACACAGAGGCGGCTAAGACCATCACCCATGTACCCATCAGACACCACAGAAGGACCAACCCTAAGGGGTCCCTCCTTCCAGACCTGTCCTCTGTCCTTCCTCCCTTGGCCCTAGATGGCTGGTGCACCCACAGGCTCCCTACCCACACTGGTCTGCCCTCCTACTCTCCTCCCACCTCTATCTCTGAGATAAGAAGTACAGGAACAGCCCAGGAAAACCACTGGCTTCCAGGTGAGCTTGGAGGGAGGCTGTGCGGATGTTCGCATATACTCGTATAGAGGGGCTCAGGGCCTTTGGGGGCTTCTCTGCCCTTTAACTCCAAGAACAGCTCACTCAGAAGGAAAACGAACCGAGCTTTAGGAGCTAAAAGAGAGGTGATAAGGGCGCGGCGACTCCCTTAACCCACCCTCCTCGTACCCCCAACTCCGGGTCTCCAGCCTGAGTTTCGAGGCCCCAGAGAAAGGGGGCGGTGCTGACATCCCATCTATCCTGGTTTCTTCTGCCCCAAAGCCTACCTCCTTGGCAGGTGAGCCCCTCCGGAGCACCGGAGCACCGACTGTGGCCGCAGACGCTCTCTCCAGCCGCTTCTGGCTTCTGTCTTTGGGGAGTGGGGGTGATCGCAACCACCGGCCCCAGGGAGGGGAGTTCAGCCCTCCCCCAGGCGCCCAAACACAGCCAGTCTCCACCCCTGCACGGCGTGTTTACAAAGTCCGCGCCGCACCGCAGATCCCGAGTTTAAAGCTGGGCAGGAAGTGGGGAAGAGGAGGCGGGGGAGACAAAGGGGCTGGGTCCTCGGCTCAGCTGAGGTTTGGCTGCGTCTCTCCCCGCTCCGGCGCTGCGCACCCCTGGCCTGCAGACCCCGCCCCACGTGCCGCAGGGGAGGGGGAGGGGCGCCGCCGCGGCTCAGGTGTGGGCGGCAGGGCAGGCGCTGCGCAGGTTTGAGGCTGAGGCGCCCGCGACTCATCCGCGCGCTGCCCAGGAACTCAACCGCAACAACATTAAGCGCGAAGTCTTGAACTCTTACTACACGGCAGGCACCGCGACAGACCCTTTCTGTGTATTATCTACTTTCCCCCCTGCTATCAACCCCATCCCAGCTTTACAGGAGGAGCAGGCACAGTGAGGTTAGGTCATGTGCCCAAAGTCCTCCAGCTGGCCAGTGTTAGGATCAAGCCCAGCGTGTGTGTCCGGCCGGGCAGCCACAAACGGGGACCGATAAGGCACGGCGGGGTCCCCCTCCCGCCTCCCCAGGAAGCCCCAGTCCAGAGGGGTTGACAGGCGAGTGACAGAAAAGCAAAGGCAGCCGCGGGGACACAACGCCCTGGGATTGAAGCGGGCAAGAGACGCGCCTCCCGAGCTCGCCCCGCAAATACTTGCGGATTAAATTGAGGGCGAGAGGCAGCGGGATGGAGTGGAAGACCTGGACCAGGTGGTCCTTAGGCTCTACATCCAAGAGGGCCTTTGATAAGCCGCGAGGCCCTCACAAGATTGGGTGCAACACGGTTTCCCTAAATTACCAGCTCAGGACAATGACCTCGGGAACTCGTTAACAACGCGGGTTCCCAAGCCCCTCTCACAGACAGTAAGGTCACTGGGACGGGGCTGGGCCCAGCCGAGTGTTACTAGTAATCAGACAAGTTCGGGAAATCCTGCGAGTGTAGACGACCTACTGGGCCTTCCAAGAGTGTGCTTTTTATGAGAAACAATTTCATATTAAAATAGGTTTCTTTTAAGTCGGTGTATCTGAAAACGAATTTTCCTGACCCATTCCCCACCCCACGGAAGGCCCCAGGAACACTTTGCTCACCAAAGGTCACGTGAGCTGGGGTCGTCAGATACACTCCCCACCGCGCTGGGCTACCGAAAACCTAGAGGGGCGCGCGCCGCCCCGCCCCTCGCCGCCCCGCGACTACAAGTCCCATCTCGCCCCGCGCTCGCGCACATTACGCCAGAGCAAGATGGCCGACACGGCTGCCGCAGGCGGGGCCGGTGGCTCAGGAACGGTAAGGGCAGGAGGCGCGGGGTCGAAGCCCGGAGAGTTTGGGCATTCTGTAACTTTCCTTTGGCCTGGGCAACTAGCTCATACCCAGAAATCCAGCCCCACCGTGAGCTATGAGTGGAAGAGGGCCTTTCAGGCCGTACGTGCCCCCCCTCCTTGGGACTTGGCGGCGGCCTCCTGAGTTGGTGGACCTGTTTCTTGATTGGCTCCTTCCCTGTTGGGGGTTGGGAACCCGGAACACCTCCTTATTGGTCCGAAGAGGTCTTTTTTGCCCTCTTATTGGCCAGCCAAAGTTGGGAGGGATTCCCGTTTCAAAATATTTAGCTTCTTCCCCACTGCAATATATAAATATATTACATATATATAAAAATATATAAATACATATATTTAATTTCTCTTACGTGCTGTTATAATTTGCCCTCCTCTCAGCAAGATATGTTATCTTTTTATTTTTTTATGTTTTCACTTTTTTAATATTTACTTTTGGTTTTCTTATTATTAGCATATTCATTGTTACAAATCATACTTGTTCTTTTTTTTTTTTTTTTTTTTTTTTTTTGTCTTTTTCCGTGTCCGGCAAACGGATCGCAACCCTCAGCGTCGCGCCCGTACCGGACCGGAACCGGCAACGGGATCACAACCCTCGGTGTTGCTCCCGCACCTCGCTCAGCCAGTGAGCGGGAACCGGTCTGTACGTGGGATCCAAACCTTTGGGGGGGGCGCCGCCACGCTCCCAAGCGGCGCACTGTAGCAGTGCGCGCCACCGGGCCGGCCCCATACTTGTTCTTTATGCCCCTTATCTAATCTCTCCCTTTCCCCCTCTGTCCTCTAATAACCATAGATTTGTTCTCTCCATGTGATAAATGAAATGGCATGGAGGTGGGAGGAACAAGAGAGATCTTATTTTTTTCTGGGAGATAGATATATTAATTCAATCCCATCATGCATGTTTCACTAGCTATATATTCTGATAATCTGCTAAAGTAGAAAGTAAAAAAACAGCCATTTTACTTTATTGGAACCATACGTTCTAGGTAGACAAAAAGATTATCTTTGTATTTAGAACACCCTGGGTGCCCAATTATTATTCAGTTGACTAAGATCTATAAGTCTAAACATTAAGCACTGATAAAGAAGTATTTGGTAAAAAAAAAAAAAAAAAAAAAAAAAACTTGCTTGCCATTGATGGTGTATGAACTGTATGATTGCATCCTTGCCCTGTGGATGAAAAATATCTCTCTGGGCTGCTAATTCACAGCGATCAGGAAGTAAACAGTCCACTAACCCTGCCGATAACTACTACCTGGCCCGGAGAAGAACCCTGCAAGTGGTTGTGAGCTCCTTGCTGACAGAGGCAGGGTTTGAGAGCGCCGAGAAAGCATCCGTGGAAACATTGACAGAGATGCTTCAGAGTTGTGAGTACCTGGAAACACTAGGCCACTAGACCTTCTTCCAGTCAACCCCAACATCAGTTCTGTGCCCTGCATTGTGATGGTGTGGAGATGATTTTTAAAAGAGGAGAGCATAGAGAAGTGGCTTACAGGCTTTAGAATGAGGTAGACCTGGGTGTAAATCATCAGTCACTCTGCAACTTAAAGTTTGGACAAGTCATTAAACCTCCTGAACCTCAATTTCCTCATTTATGAAATAGAGTAATAATTTGTGACTCACGGAGTTATGAGTATAAAGGAGATGTATATGTAAAACATTCAATGTTGGGAGACTGTAAGCTTTTGATGACTTGTAGGTTCCCTTATTGCTGTTTTGCTCTCCAGGCTCAAATTTTGTTGGGGAGTCAGGACTAATTCCCATGAAATAGATGTCATTCCATAATGTAATCAAATACTATATTGTGTGATATAAAGAGTAAGGAGGGGGCCGAGCCCGTGGCGCACTCGGGAGAGTGCAGCGCTGGTAGTGCAGCAGCGCTCCCGCCGCGGGTTCGGATCCTATATAGGGATGACCGGTGCGCTCACAGCGCTCACTGGCTGAGCGCGGTGCGGTCTCAAAAAGGACAAAAAAAAAAAGAGTAAGGAGGAATAAGTTTCATAGAATGGAAAAAAAAAAACACTTTTAAAAGAAAATGTCTTGGGCCGGCCCGGTGGCGCACTGCTACAGTGCGCCGCTTGGGAGTGCGGTGGCGCTCCCGCCGAGGGTTGGAT